CCCGGCGGCCCCTCTCCCCACTGGTGCAGGGACTGGGAGGCGTCTGCGGATTCTGCTGGGGATCATCCGGTTGAGGCTGGGCCCTGTCCACTGCGGCACCTAGTCTCCTCGCCCTGGTTGGGTTCCTGTTCACACAGGGTCTAGACAGAACTGGGGTGAGGATGACCGGACGGAGGCCACGTTTACCCTGAGAAGGCTTTGGTCTTTAACTTCCAGGAAAGGTTTGCACGGCTCCCTCTTCTATAGCTTTCTCTGGGATTTAGAAGAAGGGGCACCTGTAGGTCGTGCATTCCAGTCCGTAGAGACAGATGCCAGACACCTTGGATTAGGCATGGCAGAGAAGCCCTGTCCCCTGTGATGAGTCCCCACATGCCTGTGTGTTTCCACATTTTACAAAAATTTTCTCCCATTTTGTGGGTTGTAGATTCATTCTAATTACAGTGTCCTTTGCTGTGTAGAAACTCCTTAATCTGATGTAATCTTACCTGCCTATTTTGGGCATTATAGCCTGTGCTTAGGGGGTCTTGCTTTAGAAGTCTTTGCCTTCCCCAGTATATCTCCGTTTCCCCAATATTTTCCACCAGTAGTTTTATACTTTGCTTTCGTTGGTTTTGATCTTTGATCCACTTCGTTTTGATTTTTTTTAATGGTGACAGATAGGGCTTCAGATTCATCTTTCTGTAAGTTGATACCCAGTTTTTCCCGCACCATTTGCTATAGAGTTTTCTCTTTTCCCACTGAAGTGATTCTTACCCTTTTTCAAAATTAGTTGGCTGTATGTTTAGGGGTTTATTTCTAGAGTCTCTGCTCTGTTCCATTGGTCCTTATGTCTGATTTTGTGCCAATACCATGCTGTTTTAATCATCACAGCTCACATTTCCAGGATCTTACTGTCTTTTGTGACTTTAAGACTGGTTTAGGATTGGCAAAGCCCTGAGGAGTATCAGAACATGGAAAATACTTGCCAGAGACATCCCTGAGTTTGGAATTGTGTGTAAATTGGATTGGGGTCATTTGTATTTTTGTGTATCTGTGAGTACATGCTGAGTGTCTGTATAGAAGCCCACAGACTCGGTGCTTGAAATTAGAAGCATCCTGTTTTTAGGGTGCTCTACTGTTGTCTTTACTACATCTGTTTCTGTCACCCCTCACTGAGGAGAATTGGCTCTGGGTTATTGCAAAGTCTATGGGTTGAAATTGTTAGTGCTTGGCCATGGGCGACGTCCCTGAGTGCCCCAAACTTTGTCCAGAATGCCAAGGACTCAACAGAGCTTGTGTGGACACTAATATGATCCTTCTCCCCCTCTAGTTCTTGCATCAGATGTACCATTGCCCCCCGCCCCCAATTCAGTCCTTCTGAATTCAGTCCTCTTCTCACTTAAAAGAGAAAAGTGCAGTCATGTGACCACTGAATGTAAGGTTGCTCCAAACCCCAGTCACCTTTACCACACCCCATTTTATTTTCTTCTAAATACTCATAGGTACTTCATATCATCTTGGCTATTATATTCTTTATGTTATATCAGTGTATTAAAATCATTACCAGTGAGAATTCTGGAATCAAACTGTTTAGGGTTGAATCCTGGCTTTACCACTTTGCAGCTGTGTGAGCCTGGAAAATTTACATATACTCTATGTATTCCATTCTATTCTTGGTAAAGTTGGGATAATTAGAGTGCCCTCCTAAGAAAATTGTGCAGAATAAATGAACTGATAAAACTAAAACTATTAGGACAGCACTGGTCTGCAGTAATTGCCATGCAACATTAGTCTCCGTTGTGATTATTACAACACCATATCATTCATCTCAGTAGTCCTTGTGTTTTTTTTTTTTTTAAAAAAAAAAAAGCCCTGAGATGGAACCTGCAGATGGCGTAATGGCTATGTCGCTGGACTCCCATGTAGTCGACCGTGGTTCAAGTCCCAGACCCGGCAGCTTAAATTCACGCCGGGCACGTGTGTGTATGTGCCCAAGATCCTGAGAGGAGAATGGAGGAGAAGGGATTGTGGCATGGCCATCCCCCTTGGGGAGTGATTTCTCACTTTTTGTCTCTCTGTCTTTCTGGCAAGCGCACGTGCCCTATGGCAAAAACATCTAAAAAAAAAAAAAAAAAAAAAGCTCTGATAATCAAATACACACTCATTTAATGATTCATTTAATGATTCAATGAATAAGCAAATGAATGGGTGAATCTGAGTCCTCCACTAAGATGTGTGACCCAGTTCTCTTCTTTGGATCTTAATTCAGCCCCAAGCTTGATCCAAAGGAGAAACAGAAAAGATTTTAGGATATTGCTGGGGAACAGTCTCCTTTCTCAGATAATTGGTGTGCTTGGTCCATTCAGCAATAGCCTTATGCAGCAGGTGCTATGGCCTCATGCTGCCCTCTGCTGGTTGACTTGAATACAGGACCAGCAAACCCAGAGAGACTCCTATGCTAGACCAGGTATAAGTACCAGGGAAATACTTGCTTTTTTCTTCTCTTCCACCTTCTGCCAAAATTACTCATGTGCTTGCAAGGGTGGTAGACAGTGAGGTAGAGGGTGAGCGAGGAGGGCAAAGGGCAGAAACATTTAACAGACAAAAGAATATAAAGTTCTCTGTTAAAAAGAAGTTCTGTAATTACTGCTTTATAAAAATTTTTTTTTTTTTTGGAGAGGTTTCCGCTATAGGGCACGTGCGCTCGCCAGACAGACAGAGACATAGAGACAGAAAGCGAGAAATCACCCCCCAGGGGGGATGGTCACGCCGCAATCCCTTCTCCTCCATTCTCCTCTCGGGATCTTGGGCACGCACTCACACGCGCCCGGCGTGAGATTTAAGCCACCGGGTCCGAGACGCGAACCGCGGTCAACTACGTGGGAGTCCAGCGACATAGCCATTACGCTAACTGCTGGTTCCCTTAAGTTAAATACATTTATGTATTATATATATGTGTGTATATATATATATGTATGTATGAATGAATGACACCCCATATAAAAACTGAATTTAATCTTTACTTTGTAAGAACTCACAAGCATCAAAAGCAATAAAAACTCTTCTCACTTAAAAGAAAAAAGTACAGTCATGTGAGCCCTTTTCAATTTCAGATGCTCCTGCTTTTCTCCACTCTAATTTCTCCTTGTTTGCTACACCCAGGAAACGTATTGTGCCCCCACCCTGCAGGGCCAGGTCCAGAATCACACTTCCACTGGATCACTACAGGTCTCTAGTATGCTGGATCCTGGAAGTCCTCACTGTCTAGCAATTCCTTGGTACTGTTGGAATTTTCTATGTGTCTATTGTAATTCCAAACCCAGCCTGAGCTTTCAGGGGAAAACCCAGATACCATCTACACTGTTTTCTTTGACCCCTTGAAAGCTTTCTATGTTCAGGGCATTTTCAGAATCGTCCCTAGACAGGATTTTTCTATCTTGCCTGAGTCCTAGGAGCTATATTTGTGTTCTTCTCACTGGGCTCCCTCTATGGACTTTCTGGGTATTTATCTGAAGTGCAGTCACTTTTTTCTAAATGTCATCAGGGAAAGAATATGGACTTTTTTCTGAATCAAGTTCTTTAGGAGAACACTACCAAGTGTTCACTACAACTTTCGTAATGACCCCACATTGTCTCAAAAGTACAAGGGAGTTAAGGGTGGAGACCTCTAAATAAGGACACTTTAGGGCTCTACCTGGGCTCCAACTTGCATTATCTAAAGGAGCCTAGGGTGCAGAGAGAGGTCCTGAACAGACAAGGATATCCATTTGGGAGCCAACAGCCTACGGAAGGAATTTGAAGCCAAGGGACAGGATGAGCTAAACTCTGCAATCAGTGTAAGAGAGAAGAGAAAGAACAGTTGAGGCAGATGCACTTCACCTTTGATCAAGGAGAGGAAGAGAAAAAAGCAAAGAGATTCGTGAGGAGCAGCCAGAAGATAACGAGTAAAAGCAGGCCAAGAGTAGGGTCCTGAAAGGAGAGAGGAGGGAGCATTCAAAAAAGAAGAGAGTGATCAGTTGAATTCAATGCATCTGATAGTTTGAGAAGGGTTAAAAAGAAGCCATTGGATTTTGTGTTTCTAGTTGGAGGCCTATTTCCCTATTTCTTTCCTGAGAAAACTGGCTGGCCTCTTCTCTCCCTGACAGATCTTCCAGTGTGTGAAAAACAGTTGTATTTTATTCTGAGAGACATTTTCAGTAGCCACATTCTGTAGAAAAGCCCTGTCCAGCAGAGGTGGTCACCTTTTCATTATGTTGGCAGAACACAGGTCAGGTCCTTGACTTGTTGTCTGGGCTCCTGGCCAAGCACTGCTTCAACTACCCCGGGTGGCTCAGAACTCACAAACCACAAGCCGCTGCTTATTGCAATTCTGGTCATTCCACTTGCCACTGGTAAAGATCTCCACACAGTTTTCTTCCCCACCATGGTTGTTGGGCTCTCCTCTTTGCCAGTTGGAATAGACCAGGGGTTCCCCTGTGGGATAGATGAACTTTCCCTCTGTCTTGATGTCAGTCATGCTCAGGAAAGCAGATTTGTTTTGAGTGCTGACCAGCTCTCGTAAGGCGGCATTCTCAGCTGCTGAGCGTGGGGAGGCCAGCTGCCCACCAGCCTGTTCACACACTTTCTGTGCATCCTTGAAGGAGTTTTCAAAGCCTCCAGTCTTGAAGATCTTTTCTCCAATACCTCGACCATTGGGAAAGAGCTCAGCTGGGAGAGAAGAGTCAAGGTGAGGTTGTGGCAGCAACTGGCAAGAACTCAGGGACACTGAGACATTTGTTCTCTAACCTGAACCTCCCAGACCTCCCATACAGAATATGAGGGCACTGCATGGGATGCAAATGAGGCATTTCTAGAGCAGCCCCATCTCCATCATGCACCCCGTGAAATGATATGGTGGTTCCTCCATTTACTGGTGAAAGCACTAGAGCGCAGAGAGATGAAATAAAATGCCCAAAGACACAAATTATCCAATCTGCATTAAACCTTCTCTAGACTGACACAAAAACTTAGACACATTCTTTCTACCGTGGCCCATGTTGCATGCTAGAATTTGATTTTTTCAATTGCTATAGAATTGAACAATTTTCCCTGGGAAATTACCATGTAGTCCGGGCCGATTTTTGAGAGCACAGAACACACAAAGTATCAAGCCACCTGTCACCCCTGCATAACAGCATGGATATAGGGTTGTCAGAAAGGGAACTGGCTATGTGATGGGGTGAGGGAGGGGAACAGAATAGAACGGGATGCCTGAGAGGTGTGATGTCCTAATCTCTTCTCTGAATCTAGCCCATGTTGCCTTCTTGGTATGTATACTGGCATTGGCCCAGCCAGTCTGCTGTAGAGTTGCTGAGAGAGTATTAGGGTACATAGGAGGTACATGTGTAAGTATGGAACAGGGGATGAGGTTAGTGTTAGAGAGTGTCCTGGATGGGAATCAGAAGACCAGGCAATCAAACCTATCCCGGAAAATTTTCTGTGTGGGCAAGAGAATGTCATGTCACTTCTCCGAGTTTATAATTTCTTATGTCTAAAGTAGGGACTCACTTTCCATAAGTATCACCTTTGTGGCATGTCAAGTCTCTCTTTTTTCAATATTTTTTATTTCAATTTCCTTTATACATTTAATCACATATGTCACTTAGCTTGCAAAGTGAATATTCCAACATGTATTCATTTCTCACCAGTCCAGTTGAGAATACTATACATATTATCTTCAACAGATAATAACCCATTTCTTTGTCCCATAAATGCCTTGTCTCTCTGTTTTTCTCCTTGTCCAAATCTTTCTTTTTACTTCAATCCCACCCAGTGGCTTCTGGATACGTGTATTGTAAATTTGCTGCAAAGGACACTTGACTCTCAGGACTCTAGAGAAAGCTGTGCTCCTGACTTAATTGGGCTGGTCAAAGGTCATGTACAACTTGACCACAATCCTCCTCCAAGCATCTTAAACAAGAACTCAGGGAGGAAATTCTCCACAGTCTTAAGACGACACCAGAGCATCCCTTAACAGAATCAGTGCAGGGACTAGCAGTTGGCATAATGGTTATGTTGCTGGACTCCCACAACTGACCATGGTTCAAATCCTGGACCTGGCAACCTCAAATTCATGCTGGGCACATGTGGTGTATGCCCAAAATCACAAGAGGAGAATGAGGAGAAGGGACCGTGGCATGGTTATCCCCTCTGGGGAGTAATTTCTCATTTTCTATTTCTCTGTCTCTCTCCCCAGCAAGTGCATGTGCCCTATAGCAAAAGCTCTCTTTCTCTAAAAAAATTTTAAAAAATTAGTGCAAGAGTTTATATGCTATTACTTGGTTTGCATTATATGCACCTGGGTGTGGGTGCATTATGATGTCATGTATGGAGATAGATGAGGGATGAGTGGTAGTATTTAAGTGTATTCATATGTGGCATATTCATATGTACATGTTTTTTGTGTTTACATTGGTGTGCCTATAAATAAGTGACTACACATTCAAATATGTATGTTCAGAGAGTGAGTTATACCAAATATATCATAGTATGAAATGCTCAACCCTGCCCTTGGTTACTTAGGAGCTAACCCTATTTCACTGAAACAGTCCCCTTTATGCTCCACTCATTCAGAAAACTTCTTTTTTCACCTCAGTGAGATTTACCTAAAGGTTATGACAAATATCAAATATTTGCCAAAAGAGATGGACAGAGAAGGAGTAGCAGCAGTTGTTAACTGAATGGAGATTCCAAAGGGTACAGGGTGCTCAGGCATGTGTCCTGGGAGATCTCTGACACTTCAGAATTCCAGGGTTAGTCGAGAATCTACCCTATACACCCCAATAGCTACAGGCAGAGCCCAGCACTGGCGCGAGTTCAAAGGAGGCCTGCCCCCCTGTTGACTCAGAAGTATGTCTAGGATAAGATAATCAATGGCCACACAACAAGGCCAGGCCCCCACTTGCCTTTTACCCCAAGGGCAACATCCAGGACCCAAAATGCAGGAAAGCTCCTGGATTCTGTGCTGCCTTGGGTCATGTAGCAACATCTCTGGGCACTCCCATACCTGACTGCACAGAGGTAAGAAGTGCAGCCTGTGTTGGACATCTCCTTTTCTATCACAGGGACCAGCATAGGGAGGAAGGAACAAATGACTGCTAACTTTCACTGGACTCAGGGCATCAGTCTGCCTCAGGGTACAGGTGGCACTGACAGTGTTCAGGAACCTGACAGCTTCAGCCATGCTTCCATTAGCCTGGTGAACTGGAGACATAGGTCTTTTCCTCCTACTTGTTCCTTGGAGTCCTAGAGCATGTGGTATTCTTGCTATAACCCAGCTCTGGCCTCAGTCCCACAGTCTTCCCCAGTCCTATATCTAGCCATAGATGTCATCCACTTATCATTTTTTCTTTTTCCTTCTCTCTCTCTCTCTCTTTTTTGGGGGGTGAGATTTTTGCTATAGGGCACACACGATCACCAGAGAATCAGAGAAACAGAAAGTGAGAAATCACTCCCTACGGGGGATGGCCACACATTCTCCATTTGCCTCTTGGGATTTTGCACATGTGTGAACCTGGCATTAGTTCCAAACCACTGGGTCTAAGATTGAAACCATGGTTGACCATGTGGGAGTCCAGGAACAACCATTACGCCATCTGATGGTCCCCCACTCATCATTTTCGACTTAGATCCAAGATATGGCTCAACCTTAGGACCAGTCAAAGGTTGGGCCCAAGCCAAACCCAAACTAAGACCCAGGCCTAGTCTTAGGCCCATTGTTGGTGCCAGACCTAAGTTCAAATCCAGGAACTCACCTTTCTTATACTGAGTGAAGGTAGCCTGAAGGTATTGTACCTGTCTCTGTAAGGCCTCTACCTGCTGCCTCAGAGAAATGATGCCTAGAAGGGAGAGAAATGGCTAAGTGAAGAATTGTCCAGCACAGCCTATAAACAGTGGAGTCCAGGCCTCAAGACAAGACTGTTGAGTTGCAGACACATTTTGGAAATAGAGATGCGAGCCAGGATGACCCCTCAGAAACCCATCTCTGCTGACACAGATTTCCTCTGCCCTGCAGGGATTTCTATGGTTCTGCTATGGACAAACACATCTCTGAGTAAATCCTGGTATCTCAATGATATCAAATCAGATGACATTTTGACTCCAAAGTCTGGGAATGTAATGGCATCTCCATTTGGTTGGAGGGAGCAAGAATACATGTTCCTCATGTACTTTCCATCCACTGGGTTATTTGATGGTCAGAACTATCATATGAATTGAGAATGCAACTGTAGTTTTCCCAGTGGTCAGAAGAAACTGTACGGATTCCCCCTTTCTCTTCCAACTCATGACCTAAAGTGGAGTCCCAGAGCGAGGAGCTGCTGCCTTACCTGGAAGTCCACTTTCTCCCTTGGCTCCTCTTTCTCCAGGAACACCTCTGTCTCCCTTTGGCCCTGGTGGTCCCGCCACACCTGGAGTTCCCTGTTCGCCCACAGCTCCAGCAGGCCCTTGGATCAAAGAAAAACTGAGTGGGCTATGTACACATTTTTCTCTTAACTGCACATGGACTATCCTTTGACGAGCAATACACACCCTCCCCACATTCTGACTACTTCCAGAAGCAGCTACACTTTCTGTAAGCTGAGTGTCCCCATCATCCAGTAATCAACCTCTCCCATGTACAATTGTCCCCATCACCAAACAACTAACCTTCCCTGTACACAGATTATCCCCATTGCTTAGCATTACACTCTCCCTAGATATAGATAGTTCCTAGAGCTCCAGAATGTACCCTCCTTGGATATAGACTCTCCCCATCATCCAGCAATGCCAGGCTGACTTCCTGAGCTGTGTGTATGGAAGGGGTGAGCACTGATAACTCCACGTGGACACCTGAGACTGCATCCAACCCATTCCCAGCTGTTTTCCTGACTCACCTGCTGCTCCAGTACTTCCAGGGGCTCCACGCTCACCAGAGGCACCTTTCTCTCCTTGAGGGCCTGTGGGGCCTCTTAACCCTGTAGACCCCTGCATGCCTGGGGGACCTACTTCACCTAAGGAAAGAATAAAAAATGACAAATGCTACTGGGTGTGTACTTGGTGTGTGTCATTTCTTTGGGAGTTGAATTCTTTACTCACAACTCTAGAGCCAGAGAGATAACTGGGGAGGATAAGAGTGAAATACTACTAATGTGGGAATGTGGGGGAGTGGGTACCTGGCAAGACCTTCATTGATGATCTTGATGGTCTGGTCTCTTCCTGGCAATCTAAGCATGCTTCAAGTCATATCATGGACCACCCTTGTTATTGCTCTCTCTATGCCAGTCACTACCACCCACCTACCTTTAGGTCCAGCCTCTCCTCTAGGGCCTGGTTTTCCTTGAGGTCCTATGTCACCCTGCTTCCCTGAGCGGCCCTCTCTTCCAGCTGGACCGGGTGCACCTGGAAGTCCTGGAGGTCCTGGGGAAGAAGCAGCATATTTTTGCACTAAATCCCCTTGGCAGTGGGGTGCATAATGAGAGTAATAATAGAGATCAAAGAGGTCATATCATCCTACTGTCCAACAGTGGGCCTAGTCCATCCTGAAATAACCCAGCACCAACTTTAGAATGAACTCCATCCTGGGGATGGCTCTGTGCGTGCCTACTGGCATATCCTAGTGGCAGCAATACCACCTGGAAATATATGAATCCCATGCCCAGTATCATACCACGTGGTCCAGAGTCTCCCTTTGGTCCACGTTCTCCAGCAGAACCATTGTCTCCTTTGGGCCCAACTGGGCCAGCTGGCCCAGGAATTCCTGCACATCCTGATGATTCTGGCAGACCTGTAGCAGCAGAAGAAATTGGTATAATCATGGTCCAGGCTCATGAGGGGTCAGCTGCATTGCATGTAGAATGAACATTCCTCAGTCACACACCCTGGTCCAGTGGTGATCCAGGAAATGGGTTTGAGATCCCGTGTTACAGGTGAGAAAATAGCCTTTCCCAGTTGGAGGTGGATTTAAGCCAAGACCTTTCTGACTTTCTATACAGAGTCCCCCCCAATACACACACACACACACACACACACACACACACACACTGCCCTAAGACCAAAGTATTGACAGCAGGCAATCTGTCCACGTTTCCCTGTGGTCATGGACTTGTTAATTTCTCCTTATGTATCTCAGGAAAACTAACCATTGCTCATTTATTTGTTTACTAAAAACTCATATGTACAGTATCTACTTAATGGTTAACACTAGGTGAGATGCAGATATTAGCGTAAAGTCCTGGCCTGCAAGGGATTTGTAATGAACTATGAAACAGGATAACAAGTGAGGAAAACAAGTGGGCCTAGTCCATCCTGAAATAACCCAGCACCAACTTTAGAATGAACTCCATCCTGGGGATGGCTCTGTGCGTGCCTACTGGCATATCCTAGTGGCAGCAATACCACCTGGAAATATATGAATCCCATGCCCAGTATCATACCACGTGGTCCAGAGTCTCCCTTTGGTCCACGTTCTCCAGCAGAACCATTGTCTCCTTTGGGCCCAACTGGGCCAGCTGGCCCAGGAATTCCTGCACATCCTGATGATTCTGGCAGACCTGTAGCAGCAGAAGAAATTGGTATAATCATGGTCCAGGCTCATGAGGGGTCAGCTGCATTGCATGTAGAATGAACATTCCTCAGTCACACACCCTGGTCCAGTGGTGATCCAGGAAATGGGTTTGAGATCCCGTGTTACAGGTGAGAAAATAGCCTTTCCCAGTTGGAGGTGGATTTAAGCCAAGACCTTTCTGACTTTCTATACAGAGTCCCCCCCAATACACACACACACACACACACACACACACACACACACTGCCCTAAGACCAAAGTATTGACAGCAGGCAATCTGTCCACGTTTCCCTGTGGTCATGGACTTGTTAATTTCTCCTTATGTATCTCAGGAAAACTAACCATTGCTCATTTATTTGTTTACTAAAAACTCATATGTACAGTATCTACTTAATGGTTAACACTAGGTGAGATGCAGATATTAGCGTAAAGTCCTGGCCTGCAAGGGATTTGTAATGAACTATGAAACAGGATAACAAGTGAGGAAAACAATTATGAAATGCTTATTCCAGGGCCCCCAGGCCTCCCACCCCAGCTCACACACATACTCAGAGATGTCCTCCTGAAGGAGGAAGTAGGACTTGAGGGACAAGGAGAATACAGAGGGACTTACAGGGGGGAAATGACATTTCAGTCTTGGAAATCATGGTCTCATGGCAACAGAGACCAGGCTCTTCAGGGGCCAGAGTGTGGTTGTGGTGGGGTGACTTTGAATTTACTTTGTGGATGGAAGATTCTGTACTGGGCACTTGTCCTACTGTCCATTACCATCTTTACTATAATTAAATGAAATCATAGAGGGTTATTGAATAGACCCTACATCCTATATCCAACTGTGCACTATGCTAGGTTCAGAAACGACCTGAACCCAGGTTGAGCCTTCCTGGGGCTCTACCCTGGCTAACCAGATGAGCCAAAGGAAAAAAGTCAGTCTCTAGAAGGGAGGCTTAGAGGTTGCCAGTCCTTGCTATATATACCATAGAGATCACAAAAGCAGCAAGGTGGATGAGGAGGCTACCTTCTCACCAGCAGCACCCATGGCTTCCAAAGTGCTAATTTTTCATTTTAGTATCTCTAAAGACCTAGTCCTGCACCATGGTGCTATGTGAAGAAAGGTTTATGGACCAGAATTTTGACCAGATTTGAATGTATTAGCATTCATCTGCTCCTAACATCTTCTATTCATTCATTCATTCATCCCATGAATATTTACTGAGATTCTATTACAAAACAAGCACTACTGGAGATATAGTAGTGAACAAAAGAGAAGAAGAAGACAAAGAAAAACAAACAAGCAAACAACAACAAAACTCTTCCTTGTGGAGCTCAAAGCTATTTCATAAGAACAGATAGTAAAAAGTAAAATGTATAGCCAATGACAGGGCCAGCAGGTAGCATAGTGGTTAAGGAGCTGAACTCCCACATAGTCGACTACAGTTCAAATCCCAGACCCAGAAGTTTGAAACTCATACCAGATGCATATATGTGCATGCCCAGAATCCCAAGAGGAGAATGGAGGAGAAGGGATTGTAGCCAGCCATTCCTCCTGGAGAGTGATTTCTTGTTTCCTGTCTCTCTTTCTCTCTGGTGAGCATGCATGCTCTATAGCAAAAACCTCTCTCTTAAAAAAATTACAACAGATACTGTATTAGGTAATTAGTATCACAGGAAAAAATTACAGCATAAAGGGTTTAGGGGGTGGTAGTATCTGTTTTAGGTAGGGTGGTTGGGAAATGCTTCACTGAGAAGGTTGTCTGCAAGTAAAGCCCTGAAGGAGATGAAGAGCAAACTACAGGGATGTCTGTGAGAAGAACAAAGGACATGGGCTGAGTATGGTTAAGGACCAGCAAGAAGCTAGTATGGTTGGAGCTGAGTGAGAGTGGAGGAGTAGAAGGCACAGAGATCAGAGGAACAGCATGGGTGGAAAGTGGTTATATAGAACCTTGTAGGCTGCTGCGAGGTGTATGGTTTTACTCCATGAGAGATGGGCATCCCTGGAGGGACTCCTCACTAAGTCTTTCTGGGTGGGAATGCTGGAGGTGCTGAGTAGTAAGGCAGTTGCTCCCCAAAGGCAGGGTGTGAATCTTATTTGCGTTCCATGATCTGATTTGTGTGGGGCATCACCGTAGTGATCCCAGATCCACCCTTTCCCCCTATAAATGGGTTTCATCTCTCAGGCCTAAAATAGTTCTTTCCAGCAGGTACTCGGGCTTATGTGTTTTAAAATCTGCTCTAGCAGTTGTCACAAGTGCAGATCGATCTTGGTCCCACCTGGGTCCCAAGTGCAGACATTGAGTCAGAATCATGAAGATGCTTCAAGCTCCACAAAACATTTTTAGAACTGTCATGGTCAAGTGATTTGAGTGACTGGAATTGTAAACCCAAGGTGAAGCCTTATCCTCTGCCCAACAGCAAACTGTATTTTGTCCAAGTGCTATCCCAAAGCCAGATTTAGAATGTACATAGGTACCTGTGCAGGAAAATTAGATCCAGGACACACACTAGGAGACAAGCCCTTTGGGCCACTGTGGGAACACTCACTTCCACCATGAGATTCAATTTAGTGTCCCCTTGGGAGTCAAAGAGAACTAGAAACATCTGCAAGAGAGCTGGTTTGTTGAATCTCTTCTCTCTGAGTCCATCCCTAGATGGCCTCACCCAAGCTTCTTCCCATCCACATTGGGAGCCAGTTTTTGTCTGTAGGAGATAGATGCTTTCCACTTACCCCAAAAGGTCTAGGGGTGTTATTTTTTTTTCAGCTTTTTCTACCTCAACAAAATGAAAACTCCAGAAAGGTAAAACTATGTTATCCCTCTGAAGCTTTATCTCAGTGCCTTGGTCCCTTAGTTTATGTTGTTGGTTCACTAAATTCTCTTTTCTTTCCAATAAAAGCCAAATCATCCTTCCACCCCTGAGGGTGGCCAGTATTTCCATGAAAATTTCTTTATTCATAAGTACCTCTGGTAAGCTCAGAATTTATCTATTTGTTACAGTAGTAAGATGAAACTTGGTCCTGAAGACACAATAAAAAAATAAATCTTTACACTCAATTATTTGTTACTGGGTGGTAGATATTATTCTCATTTACAACAAAATACCTTACTCGGTGACTGTGAGTAGCTTGTCCTGGGGGTCCTAGCTGTGGACATGGAGCTGGAGCTAGAAGTCAAGCTCAGATGCGTCTACTACAGAAGCCCAAGACCTGTTCACCTCCCACCATGGTTATTTAGCTTCTCTGCATCACAGTTTTCTTACCTGTTAAAGGAGATTAATTATTATGGGACCAGCAGTTAGTGTAATGGCTATGTCGCTGGACTCCCACGTAGTCGACCGTGGTTCTCGTCCTGGACCCGGTGGCTTAAAACTCACGCCAGGTGCGTGTGCGTGCGTGCCCAAGATCCCGAGAGGAGAATGGAGGAGAAGGGATTGTGGCGTGACCATCCCCCCGGGGGGGTGATTTCTCACTTTCTGTCTCTCTGTCTCTCTCTGTCTGTCTGGCTAGTGCATGCGCCCTGTAGCGAACACCTCTCCAAAAGAAAAAAAAAGGGAGATTAATTATGTCCCTTGTAGGACTTTTGGGAGAATTACATGAACTATGCAAGTTACTTCTCAAGCATAGGGCTACACAAAGAAATGCAAACTCTTCCCCTACAATGTATTAGGGCAAGCCACTTTGATTATGCCTAAGTATGGTATCAGAGACCTTATCTTTTCCCACCTTCATACAGTAGATTTTTACTAAATATTAAAAATACTTAACACCTTATATAGGCACCATGTATTCATAATGAACAACTGCTAACTGCTGTAACAGGGATTTAGAGGACCTAAAATATCAGTAATTTACCGAGTATTTGATTGTTCTTGGGGGGAGGAGGAAATTGAGGATCTTAAAGGAGAAGTCAGGGCAGCTGAGTGATGGAGGTAAACACTGTGGCTCAAGATAGCCATCCATTTTTCAGATAGTAGAGCAGTGAGAGGAAGAAACCCATCTCTCAGGCTTGCATAATCTAGAGTTGCTGAGTTTGTTACAATTCCAGTGATCAACTCTCCCCACCATGACGTGTCTGTAGTCCCAGCTCTACCTGGATCACCCTGTTCATTCTAGGAGCCCTCTTTTCTGTTTTGTCTATTACCTTCAATCGGGTCATTCTTCACGGAGCCACACATGACCAGGGTGCAGCCATTGATGACTGTATTCTGGGAACAGGTCTTCACTTCTTCTTCCAGGTACCCCAGGGGCTGTGTGAGCAGGATCAGCACGGAGAGGAGGAGGAGCATCGTGACCTGGAGAGATGAACAGAAAAAGAAAGGACATATTCTTGTTTCTAGGATATGAGACAGGACTTAGCCTAAATCCTGACGGTTGGGAAAAGCCCCCCTCCCTACCGCCTGTTCTTTGCTCTGTGGTGCACATCAGTAGAACATCAAAAGAAGTTTAGAGACAAGATAGGCACATGGTCTGGCCTTGGTAGGCATGAATTATCTAGCTGGAACTCGGACAGAGATGGGCAAAATCGTTCACCTATTCTTAAGTACCCCCACGTCGTCCCTTTGGTGCCTTCCCTTGGGCACCACCATTGGCACTGTGGCTAGGATGTAGCATTCTTTTGAAGGCCATCTGTCCCATAAGGAAGGATTCACTGAATGCCTCTGGGCAGGACCCTTGTACTGCCTTGACCACCTTCTCCCTGTCTGTACCATTGAGGCTATTGGCTTAATTCAGATAGGCAAACCTTTCCCTCTGCCTTGAATGAACTAGAATTGGAAGCCTACAGTAATGGCCTGAAAATGAGCTAGAGTTCTGGATGGTAGCTGTCCCAAACATAGGCTGAGAGTGTGGCTGCTTGTATACCAGGCAATTTGCCATTTCTGAACCAGATGGTTTCTCTATGGGAAAAAACCCAGGGGGAATCCAGGTGAATGTTTTCAGAAATACTAAATTAGCAGCTGAAGAGGCACTTAGTCACTCAGAGTTTTGCCCAGACTCCCTCAGAGGGCTTGGAAATGGGCTTTGTCGGGGAAAGGAACATGCCAAGTAGACTGAGGCGAGTGAAAGGTAGTTTTGGGAAAAACAAAAGTGTTCTTCAATAGGGCATTCAGTTACTATGGGAGAGGAACTTAGAAACTGAGGGGGAAAAAGTGTGTGCAGGAGCTAGGTCACTGCCTATATTGAGCATCTTTCCTCTCAAAAAAATAAACTGTCAAGTTATGTAAGTGGAGGGACCAGCAGTTAGTGTAATGGCTATGTCGCTGGACTCCCACGTAGTCGACTGCAGTTCAT